CCCCCCCCCCCCCCTGTTTATTTCTTTACAAATCAGAATTTGGAAAAGTAAAATAACCACTTGTGCTCCACAAAGGGGTGTGACCACGCTACAATCCCTTTTCCTCCATTTCTCCATTCTGTCAGTATTTGGAGTACACATTTACGTAAGCCCTATGTATTTTCAAGCCACCAGGGCCAGGATTCAAATCACAATTAGTCATGTAGGATCCAGCTCCCTTAATAACTAGGCAATAGGGTCAGGTCTACACTACCTGAAATTAAATTGTATACCTCACTCATATTTTTGCCCTTAACTATTAATAGTAGCTTATATAAGAGAACTGCAGATACTAAAAAACAAACAAAAAAAATCATTTCAGTAAATTATACTATGAAAGTTAGTAATAGACAACACAAACACTTGAACCCTGCAAAAAACGTATAGGCAAATCTTTTTGTTTAATAAACACTCAATGTTTTGTGGTAGATGAATTTTAACTTAGGGGGCTTATTTATAATATCCAACCATGTGTTATTAAAGAGCAGCAACTATCCTATGTTTGAATGTTGAATAACTCTCTAAACACAATATTCTCTAAGTAAAAGGTACTAGTTTAAAATATCAACATATGGATAAATAAACCAAAAAAAGTCATTGTATTGCAGTTATTAATTCCACTTTAGGACAAAAGATTAAGTTAATACATTATAAAACACATTAACAATAGCTAGCAGACCAAAACTTACTAGCAATAGACTGCTTGCCTTATAATTTAATGCGTTTTGGGGAATTATCTAAATAGCCCAAGTCTTTTAAAAAAGCTGTCCAGATATATAAGAATTTCATGAAACTTTCCTTTTCCTCTTGGCAAATTTTCCAGGAGCAAAGAGAGGCATTCAAAAAATTTCACTGAAAATAAGCCTGCAATCAATGGGTCTCTGCATCTAAAAATGGCCCCCAAAAAATCAAGTTCAAATGTTTAATACTATCTAATGAATAGAAAGAAGGCTTTTTTTTTCCCCCCCCCCTAAGTAGGAATAGGGCCGGCTAGCAGCATGGTGGTTAAGGCGACTTGCCACGGCTGACCACAGTTTGATTTCCAGACCTGGTGGCCTGAAAGACACTGGGCACATGCATACCCCAAATTCCATGAGGAGGAGAAATTGAGAAGGATTTGTGTATTAACCCATCACCCACGAGGGGAGTGCTTTCTCACTCGCCCTCCTTCCCTCTCTATATCTGGCTAGCACACGTGTCCTCTGGCAAAAAAAATGAAAAACAAAGAAGTGGGAACAGGTATAGAGGTAATTTTACTGATAAAACAAGACAAAGATGTTTTATTTTCGGCAAGTACTTCACAAACCCACACACCTACGTCAACATACATAATAGCTATTTTGCTCAAAAGGCAGTACTCTGGGAGTTTGACTCACTCATTTTTACCTACAGGCATGTCAAACCTTTAAAAAACAACTTTTTTTTTTCAATCTTAAAATGTAATAACCTCAAATCTCTTAAAACTGATTCAGATGACTACCACCCTGTGTGTTATTTTGAAAGATTACTTACATCATCCTTTTTAGTCCACATGTGTTTCCCTGTTGTACAGCCTTCTTGGGATAAGAATGTATTAAAATCAGAAGTCTTTCTTCTACAACAGCTCCAGTATTTCATCCTTGAAAGTATCATACAAAAACTTCAGACATAAAAACCACCAAAAAATCCAAAAAAATTATAGTGAAAAATGTGATTAAAAAAATCAATACATGTGCAACTTTAGTCTTTTACAAGTGTCTAAGTTACCAAACAGTTAAAAATACCATTTATTGTTGTAGTATTGGAACTCCTGAGCAAAGACACTTAAAACTATCACAAAAAATTCCAAATCAGTTTTCACTGATAGCTTATATACCAGTTTACTCATGAAGCTGCCAGAAAGTTTATGATCAAAAACTTGTAATACTCCCATTTCAGTAACCTAGTAAACTGAGAATGTGCAATAAATTAACTACTAATGATTCTGTGATGGTTAAATCCCAAGGTAGATGAAAACCACTATTATTTACTTGAGAAAAACCTAACACAGAAAGACAAAAATTATGGTAACATCCCAGGTTTGAGTCCTAAAGAATATGGAAACAGAATAGATTATTTTCATACAATACTGTGTTTCTATAAACTATAGAATAGAGGGTTCTCTACTGAGGCTGTGCTGAAGTATGGTCGTCTTGGTCATCTTTGAACCCTAGGCCTAAAATTCTCAAATGTCTTGCAATGTGCAGAATAGTCCTTCAAACAAACAAAAAAAACTGACTTAGCCTAAATAGGAGTATCACGCTGAAGTACAGGATACAAGGGAAAACACAAGATGTAAATCATAATGGATACCTAATAAAGATCAACTTTTTCCATACTCTCATGTGCAAAAAAACCCACACACTTCACATTCTTAAGTTATTTTTAGATGACAATGTAAGCGAAATGTTTAATAATACTACATGGCAAATTATGTTTAAGAGCATAAATGTTAAAACTTTTCTAACCTCTACCATAAAGTATTTTAATTAGTCATGCTTAAGTTACCCCTCATGGAAAATAGGTACTCCAGAATGATATACACAGACTTCTTCTAAACTCTGTAGACCTTGGTATGTCTAAATGAAAAAAAAAGAAAAGAGTTAGCTGCATATCTCAGTTACATCTCATATATAGACAGTAGTACTGGTGATCTCTATGAACTTTGCAAAATACCTAAGAAATAACAACAGTTACCTAGAACATTCATAAATTCATCCCAGGCCATTCCATTAAGGAATGAAAAAATTACTCCCTTTTAGACAGTTTAAGTCCCTGTAAGAAAAGTAAATAAAAAAGTAGAAAATAGGATGCATTAAGATGCTTTTAGCTTTCTGGTATGTGGTCTCAGCTAATAATAATGAGGGTATTTAAATTTACAGGCCAATGTTGACACCAAAAGATTGGTCCTCTGAACAACACACACACATATATATATATGATTAAAATGTGTAGTAACTTATGTGTGGTTATTACCAATTATATGGAAAATCAAAATAAGCAATTCTAGAAGTTCTAGAATGATGGTGACTTATTATCCCTAACAAAGGGTAAAATGAGCTGCAGACCTATATATATATCCAAGGTTTGTCTGGAAGATCCGGGCCCATTGCTGCTGTAGATGAAGGCTCTACAGATGAATTCACAAAAAGTTTAAGTTAATAAAACATGGATGCAGCCAGGAGTATATTCTATTGTTGTACTAACAGCACCGAGACCCATGAGTACAGATAATAAAATTCTGTGTGATTACTTCCTGTAAATCAAAGTATTAGGTGTATGTATCTCCTATAGATATTCCAAAGCACATAAAACTCAGAATGTTAGATTCTGACCTTACTACCACGTCCCATCTTATTTGCTGTCACCATTATCTACTTGGCCTCTCATACAACAAAATCCTGATAAACACTCTCCACCATCTCCGCTCCCTTCACTCATACGTTATTCATTACAAAATTTTGTGAATTTGACTTGAAAAAATTTAATAGTTTAATTTGCTAAACTTCCTCATGTATTAGCAGATTTTAGACAGACAGTTATACTAATGGATTTCTACTACTTCATTTCCTATCCTCCAATTTTTGTTACCATTTAATTTTAATTATCTAATCATCATCACTCTCTCTTTAAAGTCTTCTTAAGTTCATCTACTTCACACTTTAGACAATAATTATGTCTAGGTGGTCTGCATATTTAAAAGTGACTCTATATGAGAAAATAGTCATGGCCCTGAAGTAATAAGCAAAGATTTCTTAAACAGGACACAGAAATAAGCACTAGTCATAAAGGAAAAAGCAAACAAATTGGACTGAATTAAAATTAAAGTGCCTCTGTTTATCTAAGCTGTCAGTAAAAGAGTAAAAAGGCATAGTATTTCTGGGACCAGCAGTTAGCGTAATGGCTATGTCACTGGACTCCCATGTAGTCAACTGTGGTTCGCATCCCAGACCCGGTGGCTTAAAACTCACGCCGGGCACGTGTGCGTGCGTGCCCAAGATCCCGAGAGGAGAATGGAGGAGAAGGGATTGCGGAGTGGCCATCCCCCCTGTGGGGTAATTTCTTGCTTTCTGTCTCTCTGGTGAGTGCATGTGCCCCAGAGTGAGAACCTCTCCCCCAAAAAAGGGGGGGCATAGTATTTCTGACAAAGGACTCATAGCTAGAATGTATTTTTAAAATAAAAATTTTAAACGATATTAGCAAGGTGGGACCAGCAGTTAGCGTTAATGGCTATGTCGGTGGACTCCCATGTAGTCGACTATGGTTTGAGTCCCGGACCTGGTGGCTTAAACTCACGCCGGGCGCCTGTGCGTGCGTGCCCAAGATCCCGAGAGGAGAATGGAGGAGAAGGGATTGCGGAGTGGCCATCCCCCCTGTGGGGTAATTTCTTGCTTTCTGTCTCTCTGGGGAGTGCACATGCCCTATAGCAAAAACCTCTAAAAAAAGATTTTAGTAACATAAGAAACTTTTGAGACATCTCACTAAAAAGGATGTACGAATGGCTAATGAACATTTAAAAAGGTACTCAATCTCATCATCAGGAAAGCACAAATTAAAAGGACAGAATACTACACAACCATGAAAAGGGATACAATATGAAAGACTGATTTTACAAAGCGTCACCAAGTGTGGGACTAGTAGAACCAGCCTCATACACTACTGGGAGGAGAGTAAAGTAAGGCCACCACTTTGGAAAACTCTGTATAAGCATCTGTTAAAGCTAAAGATATCCATACTCTTTGATGATACAATTCCTTTTCTAATCCCATATGCAGCAGAAATGTGTACATGTGTCTCTCGCTAATTAACACATTATGCAAAAGAAGACAAACATAAAAAAGTATATATTCTATGATTCGTTTTACATGGAAATACTGGTGTTTCTATTGTGAAAATACCTTGAGCTACTATTTATATAATTTTACATGTTTTAACAAATTTCGATGTTACACTTCAATGAAAAAGATTAAAAATGTCTTTAATGGCCTCCACAACCTTAAGGTCCACTTTCCTAGCACTTAGTCTTTCAAGATACAGCTCTTACTGGGAACCAGCAGTTAGCATAATGGCTACGTCGCTGGAGTTCCACGTAGTCGACCACGGTTCGCGTCCCGGACCCGGTGGCTTAAAACTCACGCCAGGCGCGTGTGCGTGCGTGCCCAAGATCCTGAGAGGAGAATGGAGGAGAAGGGATTGCGGCGTGACCATCCCCGCTGGGGGGTGATTTCTCGCTTTCTGTCTCTATGTCTCTATGTCTCTCTGTTTGTCTGGCGAGCACACGCACCCTATAGCAAAAACCTCTCCCTCCCCACCCCAAAAAATACAGCTCTTACTTATCTCTATTAATCTCCACTCCATAGCAACAAATTCTATACCATACTATTAACTCTGCTGCCTTTATACTGCTGCTATCACCTCTGCTTAGAATATCCTTTCCATATACTTCATTTACAGAATGGCCATTCATTTTTCAAAATTTATCTAGCAGCACCTCTTGATCTTCCTCCATTACACTACTGTTTGTACCACCTTCCATATTTTGAAAATCAATCATTCTCTTTTACCTCATATACATGTGAATACATTTACATTTTCCTCTCTTCATGAGCAAGAAAATTTCAAACTCAACACAAGGTAAACATAAACCTGCCCCCATCTCATCTTTACTTTCTCAGTTAATGGTGACCAGGATGCTCAAGGCACAAATTCTCTTAATTTCTATCTAATCCATTAGCAAGTTTTGCTACTACCTCCGAATTTTATCTTCCAAACTATTTGGTCATTGGAAAAGTCATGACGTATTTTTTGATGCGAAAATGTGTCATGACTTTTCTGATGACCCAATACATGCATTTGGCACATGCCAGGCACTACTGTAACTGTTCAAAATACAACAAAGGAAAAAACAAATTAAAACCCTATTCTTGTAAATCTTACAGGGGGCTGTGGTGAAATATGATGAAAATGATAAGCCAAAAATGTATCAAAATGAGTAATAGAAGGTGACAAGTACTATGGAGAAAAAGAACAAAGAGAAGAGGAAATGTTGGAGGGTACTCAACAAATGTATACAAAGTAGGCAGCAAAAGGCCTCACTGCGATGTTCGATTATATTCCATGTTTAGTCACTTTCAATAAACTTTTCAAAGCCTACTGCCTGGTCTTCTAGTAGCATCCTAGCTGGTATCTCTTCTACCTCACCACTGTTCCATCGCCATGCACTCACCATTCACCAGCTGAAGGATTCTTCTTAAAACCCTTCCCCAAAATAGGTAATGGCTTCCTATGAAACTCAGAATATAGTCAAAACCCTTCACCATGGCTTATAAGGATTCTCGTAATTCTGCCCACCTCTGACCCAGTACTTGCGTACCCCCCACTGACCTTGTGATTCCCTGAGTAGTCAAGTTCTAAAGTCTCTCTCATGTTGCTCCCTCTATCCACAACCCTCTTCCCCAGGTTTATATAACTCATCTGCGACATTACTCACATTTCTGATTTAGTGCCACCACACCAAAAAGAACTTCACTGACAATCTTACTTAAATAGCTATCAACTCTAATCACACTGGCTCATTATTTGGATTTATTTTCTTCATATCTACCTGAATTCATGATGTTTAATTACCTACCTGGTCTTTCCCTCCACACCTCAGTATCAGCTCCTCTGAATCACTGCCTGGCCCATAATAAGTGATCAGTAAATGCTGATGAAAGTAGAATAACTTATTTAAAGATTCTATCGGATACGATGCTCCTCAGAAACAAGAATATCTAATCCATGTTTGTAACCTTGTCCACAGCACAGTGCCCAATATATAACAGGCAAACAAATGTTTGTTGAATTCAGTGACTTGCACTCCCTGTTTTTGAAATTAAGTTTTACTCTATTACACGTCACAAATTTTCTAAGATGTACCTTGGAACACCCTCCATTTTTACATGAGGTCCCAATCTTAATTTCATCACTGTCTTCTTCTGAAATGAAAAACACAAAACCAAATTAAAATACTGAAATATAACTTCACTGCAATGTTATTCTTTTTTAAAAAAATTTACTTATTATTATTTTTAGATTTATTCATTCAATTCCATTTGTTGTTGTTATTATTTAAAATTTGACCAGAGACAGACAGAGAGAGAGAGGGAAAGTGAGAAAGCAAGCCTTTAGGTCCAGCATTTGAATCACGGTTACCATGTGGAGAATCCAGCGCCCTTAACCACCACACCACTTGCTGGCCCCTGCAATGTTATTCTTAAGTAACCTTTACCATAAGACAAGTCTTTTAATAAAAACAACTATTGTCATGTTTTATCTACATCCCCAAAATGATATACAGTGCATCTCTATTCTATAATGCAATGCTACAAACAGGATCTTCATCTTGCAAAAAAGAAATCATGAACCTCATGCATGTTTTCCTCAATGGCACCAGGTATACCTATATATAGGTCAGAGAGTACTGAGCATATGTTATATCATACATAAAATATTCAATTATGAAGAATGTTAACCTACTGTTAAAAAAAAAAAGGATCATGAGGAAATAATTTTCAAAGGTTCTAAGTTTTAAAAAAGACATAATAGAATGAACCACATATTCATTCCATGGTACTACTGGGATTTAGATAAGAAGCTGTTCTCTACAATATGCTATTCTTTCATATTTATACTCAATAAATTACTGGTATTGCTTTGACCGTGTGTAATAAACACACGCACACAAACACACCCCGAAACAAAATCTTACCTTTCTTGTCTTCTTCATTCCCAGATGACAGTTTAAGTTTATCAAGTGCTTGTTTTAGGGAAGCAGATACTTTTAATTCCAAATTTGTCATTGGTTCATCTGGGCTGGAGAATTTTAAAACCTTATTACCATTATTAATGTACCAAAATATTTCTTCTAATCAAAATTTATATATATATATATATATTGCCATAGGGTATGTGTGCTTGCAAGACAGCACACAAGACCGAGAGAAAGTGAGAAATCACCCTCCCAGGGTAGATGGTCACGTCACAATCCCTTCTCCTCCATATTCCTCTCCACATTTTAGGTATGCACACACACGTGCCTGGCATGTTTTTAAATCACTGGGTTTGGTGACTTGAACTGCTACCATGTGGGAGTCCAGCACCATAACCACCATGCCACCTGCTGCCCCAAAATTAACAGTCTTAAGAGCCTCTTTGTGAGAAGCCAAATGCTTTGTGAATCCATCATATCATGTATCTAGATCTTAAGACTTAGTAGAAGAAGGCTTAAATGTTTTATTTTAAAATATTAAGTGTCTAATAATCATGCTATTGCCAGCACATTCAATTATAAACCAATAGTGCTAACTGGAAGGAGTTAAAGACTAAGAATTCTTTGTCAAGGTGAGTAACTCTGAGGAAGGGACCATAAATAAGTTTTATTTAGATGGCCAAGCAAAATGCAGCACACAAAATAAACAGACAATAACTATATACCAAGCGAATTCACTTTCCTACCAGTAGAGATAATTTTCTTTATTTAGACCCTGGTATATAGGCCTACACATTCACATACAATTGTACTGTAATTTCAGTAGGGTTAAGAAAACAATATCCTCTAACATTTTATAATGGTTAAGTGTTATACATACAATTTTTAAATCCATTCAAAAAATAAGTACCAAGAATACCAGTAAATACAGCAGTAAGTTATTTAACATGTCAACAATGAAAAAACTGACATAGGAGACAAAATACATTAAAACCTGTGTCTTTATAACCTTACAGTACCACAAAAAGAATTTAGGATTACGTATTTCTCTCAGTGTCTCGTAAGTAAAATTATAACAGCCCTACATTTAAAGAAAATAATACCAACTTATTCTACTATAGTAGGCTCTACTTTTGTAGAGATTATACTTAAGAATAAGAATGAACCATGACAGAATTTTTCTGTTTTTTTTCCAATAATTTCTTTTTTACTGCCAAATCAGCCAGTTAAGTAGTAAGGCAGAGAGAGAATAAAATCATTCTGAATAGTCCCTTTAACGATGATTAAATTAAAGGCAGATTATTATTTTTTTTTTAAGGGGGGAAAAAGGCAAATGATTTAAAACTTAGTGGCTTATACAGTAGCAAAAAATGGCATTATGCAAAAATCGTAAAAGGAAATGCCATTAACAAATGTATTTTTCAAGGGTGATAAAAATATGTAACTACATAAGGTATACCTTGGCCTTTTTATTGCCTCTACTGGCTTAGGGGCTTGAATGATGTGCTCCTGGAATTTGGGTTTCAATTCAGATGCCTCTTTCTTCTCAGTAGTCTTGACTTCAGGTTTGACTGGCTCAGGTGGTTTCTCACTATTATGCCTACCTTTTGTACAACCCTGTTAGTGAAAGACATTAAGAGTCATACTATCATGACAGAAATACTAATTGTTCGTTTACCAATAACATCTATTATTGTTGTTATTTACTTATTTTAAGAAACTAAAAACAGAGCTCCAAATATGCTATATTTATAAATGAGTTCTTACCTCTGAATAAACAACTTTTTAAAAAAGGCTTTTGAATTACACTTTATAAATTATCTATTTATTCTAGAGAAATGCTGTTAATTGTTGCCTACCATTTCCTCATTAATGTCTTTCTAAGCTACTAATATCAAGCACAAAGCTAAAGTGACAAAAGGTACTTAAAATGTTAAAACTTTAATCTCTTAACAAATGAATCTTTATTTTAGAGTCTGTGAAAGAGACATGAGCTTCATTTTAAAATTAAGGTGCTATCTGCAAGTCAATGAGGATAAGGACCAGTTAAAAGACATCAGAAATCAGGTTCCTCAAATCTAAAGCTTCCTGTGACATGTACTTTAGGGAGATAAAGCAGAAAAAAATTACTACTTACTACAATGCTTAAGAAATCAGAAAAATCCGTTGTTCTTCTCTTACAGCAAGACCAACCCTAAGAAACATAAGAGAAAAAAACTGAAAGCTGTACTTGCATGGGAACCAGGACCATTAAAACACTGTACTTTGTATTTATCTCCTTAAATCCTAATGCATAGATTTCAGTTTTAAAGTATTGCTTATTTATTTCCTCTATGAGAAAGACAGAATGAGACATCACCCTCATCAGGGTCTTCACTCTGCAATCCACCACCAGCCTCGGCCAGCCTAGATAACCAGCACACATGTACAAACCCAGCATTTGCAGGGAGGTCATGAACCAAGGACTTCCCATGTGAGCCCAGCTGCATCACTGTTGTGTCACCATCTGGCTACAGTATTTGATTAAAAAAAAAAAAAAGCCATTCAATCAGTATTACAGTGATCTGTATTGTGTGTTGTGACTTATTATGAAAGGCAGCTTCTTAAAATGGTGAAATAGAAACTGTTTGTCCTTAACAGTATTTGAGCTTTAGAAGAAATACACTTTAAAATGTATTTAAAAGGATCTGGGAAATAAGTAACAGTGCTTTACTTCAAAGGTATATTAAATTAAAGATAATTCAGTTCCTTCCTTCCTTCTTTCTTGATTTTGGGCATGCATGCACATGCGCCTGGTGTGATTTTTCAAGCTGCTGGGTCTGGAATTTGAACTGTGGCTGGCCATGTAGGCATCCAGTGTCTTAACCACCATGCCACCTGCTGGATCAATAATTTAGTTTCTAAACAAAACCCATACTAGTTCAACAATAAGCTCTATATGCAGAATATCAATTACCAATTACCATAGTGGCCTAAAGATCATTACATTTTTGAAGGAGAAATTAATTTTCAATGAAAAGCATAGAAGTATAGAAACTGCAGTATGTGATTTTTAAACAAAGTATCAAGTCACCACCAAAAAATGGCTTTAAGCTATAATTTTTAATTTCCAAATACTATAGTGAATTAGGTAAAAAAAAAAAAAAAAAAAAAAAAAAAAAAGTAACAGGCTCAGTACTTCAGAGGGCCCAGAGAGATTAAGGGCCAACTCTCACATACCCACCTGGACCCATACTATTTTTCTATTTTCCTACCTAAAATCTGTGGCAGTGGAGCAAGCTCCACTTTGGAGGCCTTTGGGCTAGAAGCAGGCCTGCCTTCTCAATCAAGATCTTGGCAGGAAGTAACCTGAGTTTGAATGTATTTGCTTTCTGTTATTTTTTTGTTTTTAACAATAATACCATAATGTACTAGAGATAATCCAAAGGGGCTATGAGACCAATTAAAGATTATTTTCCTGTGTAAATCAGGACAATTACCAAGATTGAGATAAAGAGCTTTGAGACTCTTCTCAAAAATAATTACATGGAGGGGGAACCAGCAGTGAGCATAATGGCTATGTCGCTGGACTCTCACACAGTCGACCGCAGTTCATGTCCTGGACCCAGTGGCTTAAGAACTCACGCCGGGCGCGTGTGCGTGCGTGCCCAAGATCCTGAGAGGAGAATGGAGGAGAAGGGATTGCAGCGTGACCATCCTCCCTGGGGGGTAATTTCCCGCTTTCTGTATCTATGTCTCTGTCTGTCTGGTGAATGCACGCGCCCTATAGCGAAAACCTCCCAGCCCCCCCAAAAAAAGAAAAGAAAAAAAAAATTACATGGAGGGACCAGCAGTAAGTGTAATGGCTATGTTACTGAACTCCCATGTAGCCAATCACAGTTCAAGTCCCAGACCCGGTGGCTTAAACTCACGCTGGGTGCGTGTGCACCCAAGATCCCGAGAGGAGAATGGAATGCGGTGTGGCCATCCCCCCTGGGGGGTGATTTCTTGCTTTCTATCTCTCTGTCTCTGTCTGTCTTTCTGGTGAGCGCACGTGCCCTATAGCAAAAACTTCTTAAAAAAAAATTACATGGACTCCAAGTTAATCTGAGTCAGAAATCAGGGTCTCATGGACATCTGCAGGCCTCAAACATTCAGAAATGAAAATCAGAGAAAGGGTCAAGAAAAAACACCTTAGGGATTTGCTGAACTTGATTTTCAAGAATAAAGAACTGAAGAATAAAAAAAAATGCTGGTAGTGATTTTTTTCCCCCAAAACATACAGTTTCAGATTTTATTTTAAGAAAATTTTTAGTATCTTGTAATTCAAATTTCCTTTGCTTTGAAATTTAATTTTTTGTGTACTATGAACTAAAATGTAGATGAACCAATTACCACAACCATAAATATAGGTTTAAATAGTACTGCTACTATAGTCATTAGGAAAATAATTCTCTAAAAGAAAAAGCTTTACTGTCTTAATCATATATACAAAATTAAGTCAGATACTAGGATACATACATGTAAAACATGACACAGGCAAGCTGTTCCCAAATGCCAATCTGGGTTCTTTGCTAATCCTCAGTAAAACAAGAAAAGAATATACTTAAGAATGTGAGTAAAAGGTTATCTTTTTCTTGAGAAGTGGTGTCCTTTTCTCTAAGCCCCTTTTAACATTAAAATATTCATTCTTTTGTTAATATAATGTTTAATTTCTCACTTGCTCAAAAATAAGACCTAGCAACCTATGCTGATGTACACATTTTGTCTGAAATCTACTGGACTGTAAAATACTCCAAAGTGAAATCATTAATACACGGAGTGATTAACAGTGGGAGAAGTGGGGAAAACAATAGACCGAATGACTAGGGAGTCAGCGGTATTACTAGGAATGGTAGAGTTGAGAGGGAGTCTATTTTTGGAATAGAGTTCATTGTAGAAACTGGTTTGAGGTTGCCAATGAGCTACATAAATGGAAAAATGCTTTAAGAGCCAGTGATAGAGGTGACATTTGAGGGCACAAATGAACGAACCAAATGACAGAAAATAGAAAGCCAAAGAGTAAGATGTATTCCTATGGTTAGGAGACAGGAGGGAGAGACAATGGGGAGGGGATGGACATGAATAATAAAAAGGTACAGTAAAAAAAATTAAACTGAATAAATAGCATTCTACAAAAGGTAAAAAATGAAAAATATTACCATAGGTTCACAGTTCCTACCCACATAAACATTTGTAAACAGGCTAAAAAACATGGAGCTACTTGTTGCCCAGTGGTTAAGAAACTGGATCCCAGATGGCCCACTGAACGGTTAAAGGCCTGAACTCAGTAGCTTGAAAACACACAGTTGGTGCATGCCCAAAATTCCAAAAGGGAGGAGAAATAGAGATGGAATTATGTACGATTCTGGGGTAATCATTCCTCATGGGGATAGGGGTACTTTGATCCTCTCCAGCAAAAAAAAAAAAAAAAAAAAGTCTAAAAGGATATAAAATCAGGTCTTAATTTGCTCCATTAAATGTTTGTACTATTTTTCTGACTCAGTGCTAACAAGATTAACAAACTCATCTGCTGTACATTTTTGTTTTTATTTGGTTAAATAATAGTTGAACACCAAAAGAAACCAAGTACTTTCTGGTAGTTTTAACTAGAAATTCAAAGGGTATCAGCATTATTTAATCAGGTAAGATTTGACATTTCTGAGAACAAAAGAAATACCTAAAATCATGGCAGTTCCAAGAATTTTCCTTTCAGATAAACAAAGGAAAACTCTTCCAATGAACCATACTATCAAGAATTTTGAATATAAAAAATCTGATCAAACAATATTCTGTTATTTCTCTAATTCTCCAAAATATAAAGAAAGTACAGGTGGAAATGGTAACATCTCTTCATAAAAATACTTTATACTTAAATGTCTGCCCTGAAATTGACACCTTTAAGTGTTCTTAACAGCTATCCCTGAAGTGCAGGGCTATTCTTTTTGGCCAACAGTGGTAGAGATTCAACTGTTTCTGTTTTATCTCAAAATTAGTACAGTGTCAAAAAGTGTATAGGTGTGTAGAAAATGAGACCTGGAATGGAAATAGTGTGATTTTTTAACTGGAAAAAACCTTAAGATCACCATCTATTGTTTTCTTTATCTGTAATGAAGAAGTACACGCTTTTAAACCATCCACAATGGGCATTGGGAATGACAAAATGTCACAAGATAAGGAAATCATTATTTAGTACTACATTTCTAAAAATATAAAGAAACTGAACCTCTATCTAGTTCCTACCTTTAATGCATCATGAAAGACTGGAACACCTGGGTGGTATGTGCAAGCATCTGGTGAGAACATAGGGAACAAAAAAGAATTCCACTCATTACAACGAAGAATAATGAATGCAGTGAATCATTATGTCCTTCAGGTATTAACATTTAACTCCTTTTCCAACGACTATCCAACCACTGGAAATATCGTTTTTCACAAATTCACAAATGTAGGACCAGCAGATGGTGTAATGGTAACATTGCTGAACTCCCACATGGTGGACTGCAGTTCGAGTCCTGGACCCAGTGGCTTCTAACTCATACTGGGCACATATGTGTGTCCCCAAAATTCTGAGAGGAGAATGGAGGAAAATAGAGGAGAAGGGATTGCGGTGTGACCACCCCCATGGGTGGGGGGTGATTTCTCACTTTCTGTCTGGCAAGTGTGAAAATCTAGGGGAAAAAAATCACAAATGCTTGATGCACAACATAAAGTGCATTGTACTAAACAAACAAACAAACAAACAAACAGTTAAAATGCTAATTCAAGAGTCTGATGGCTATAAACAGTACAGAACAGTTCTAATACAACCAAGTTATATTCCTCTAATCTTTGTTGTAAAATTTAATACCAGACTTCAAGTCCAAAGATTTTCACTATCATCTACCAGTGCTGCTTTTAAAAAAATCCTATCAAATTTGTGTTCCTATGTGCACTGACCCACAAAGACTGTCCAAGAGATTTTTAAAAAGATATTGTGCAAGAATATACTCGAGATTTAAAAAAACTATCATAATATCTAATTGCTACCTTAACTTTCCTAGACAGGTGTCAATTCATAGGTACAAACTTCATTAAAAAGAGTTTAAAAGTGGAACCAGCAGTTAGTGTAATGGCTATGTCGCTGGACTCCCATGCAGTCAACCATGGTTCGAGTCCCAAACCCGGTGGCTTAAACTCATGCCGGGCGTGTGTGCATGCGTGCCCAAGATCCCAAGAGGAAAATGGAGGAGAAGGGATTACAGTGTGGCCCCCCTCCCCAGGGGGTGATTTCTCACTTTCTATCTGTCTTTTTGGCAAACGTGCCCTATAGCAAAAACCTCTCAAAAAAATAGTTTAAAAGTTCTATAGGCTATTTATATTTGATACTGTCATTCTGTACTTTCTTTCGGTTATCCATTATACTATGAATCTTAACTTTCTTATGAAAACGAATTTATTACAATTTATATCAGGTAACACAGTTATTCTCTGCCCAGAGAATATGATGAGCTCAGAGAAAACTGGTCAGTTCCATGTATCTATACTTTTCTTATAAGGTTACCTCGTTCAACCTTTCAAGTCTGTTTAGCTTTCAATACTTTACAATTTCTGATTTCTGATGTTGCCTTAAAATGGATTAGGCAGATGCCATTAAAGATAGCAGTGGAATTAAAAGCTGAAAAAAGTAGAAATGGATATGCAGAAGGACAGACAGTAAGTTGAAAGGGGAATGGAAGTGGAGAACAGATTCAGTATTATCAATTACCCAGTTTAATAAGGTCAGAGGCGTAAACTGCACAATGTAGTAACAGTAAGAGGCATGTTACAACAGTGGGCAATCTTGGCAGAATGGCAGCAGGGATGAGTCAGATCTTAACCACACTAGAATTGACTCAGATCTTAACCACACTAGTATGAACAAAATTTGAAAATCACAGCTCAAAGGCAAATAATAAGCAGGTAGTTTTCATCAGGTTTACCAGTTTTCCTCTAATATATTATGAATAAGAAGTTACAACATAGCACTGGTTAAATGTCAAGGACTTTAAACTTTGGGTCTGACTCTAGCTACAATTCTTTTTTTGTTTCTTTTAATATTTTTTGTTGAGGGCTTGTGAGCTGTTGGAAACAGAATGAAAACGAGAAATCATCCCCCTGGGGGTGGGATGGCCATGCTGCAATCCCTTCTCTCAGGATTTTGGGCACAGCACCTGTGTGTGGCATGTGCTAAGCTGGCCACATGGGACAAGTGCCTTCACCACCACACCACCTGCTGGCCCCAATTCTGGCTAAAATTCTTATTCTACCATTAGTAGCTGCTTCAGTTTTTCTTACATGTGGACTGAAGAAAATAATGTTTGTGAATTTGTGTTTTCTCTAGAATAAAAGTGTGGTACCATACATAATGGAACTTTCTTATACTTTCAACTTCATCTAGTAAGATGAAGTTTATCTTGGTCAATGCACAAAGTCAAACCTCCTCCATTCTTTAAAACTTTTAGGTCCACAGTGTGCTAGTTTGCTATTGGTTCTTGTTTTCTACTCCCTATTTTCTTTTTTGGAGAGGTTTTTGCTATAGGGTGCTTGCGCTTGCCAGACAGACAGACAGAAAGCGAGAAATCACCCTCCTCCCTGGGAGGGGGGGGATGGCCACGCTACAATCCCTTCTCCTCCATTCTCCTCTCGGGATCTTGGGCACGCAGGCAAACGTGCCCGGCATGAGTTTTAAGCCAACTGGTCCAGGACTCAAATCGTGGTTGACTACATGGGAGGTTGACTACATGGGAGTCCAGGGACATAGCCATTACGCTAACTGCTGGTCTCTCTCTATTTTCTTTACCCATTCACACAGCCAATCTATTTGAGTATTTATCCTGAACGTCTATAAATGTTGTTCATTTTGCTAAAGTGAATGAACTCCCAGCAATCTTACTGGAGTTTCTTGCTGTATCTCATGGAACTGATGGACCAAACCTTGACTACCTACTCCTTTGGCTTTGCAGACTCCCCTTCTATTTTCTTTCCCAGGCATTGCACCATTTCACATGAACACTGACTTCAAACGAATGGCTCTCTCTCCCCTAACTTTACACTGGTATATACAATAACTCTTTTAAAATAATCACATTTCCCCAAACATCAAGACATCACAGTCTATAATTTAAAGTAAAATGTGCTGACAACTACCAATCTGCTTTAAAATTCCCCATTTCTCAATTTTGTCAACCACTGAAACCTTGCATTCTCCCCTTAATTAAAATCATATTTATATCAAAAGAACCTCAGTAACTGGAACACTGAATGGACTGGATTTATCTTTTTCCCTAAAATGCTGTTATCAATGGGATTATTGTTTTAAATGTCACCACTTTACCTGGTGCCTAGATAAGTATTTCAAACGTCTCAGAAGGGAAGATTTAATAATGCTCCAGTTTTAATCTCCTTTACAATGCTCAACTATATTCCTACCTTGATGAACTCGATTTCTCTATTAAAGGAGTCTAAAGCTTCATTCACTCCTCCCAGAATGGTTGTGAAGATCGAATGAGGTAATAAAATGACAAACCAGTGTCATGCATATAGGAAACAAACAGTAACTGCTAGTTGAATCTGGGTAAGTGTCGTCACTTCCCACAATATTCAAGCAACTCAATTTTTATTCCATTCACCAATCAAAATTCAAATGCCTAAGTCATTTCCCATGTTCACCTAGGGTAGTCACTTTCACTTTACATCCTTACCTCTACACCTAGGTTTAAAAAGACATTCGCTCGCCTAATTATAAAATGCAGAGATCACGGCAAGAAAAAGAAATCAATACTGCTGTGAAAGATAACGAATGTATTATTCGGATGGGCATATCAAAAATTCGCGTCATTTCCCTAACAAACAACATTTTTAAAAGTTAAAGAGTTCGTCACAGCGGGTGGACAGCAAGCCAGCAGCGGTAGGCTGGTATGAAAAACTAAACTTCTGATTAACAGGGAGGATTTAAATGCTAGCGTAGTCTGCTGCCCATCTCTCCCCTAAATCTCAGCCAACGCACAGGGAACGGCTGAGCGAGCTCAGCTGTACCTCGTTAACACTGGTTTCCCCGAGGAGCCTGAAAACAATGGGAATCAGGGTGTCTGTTCTAAATTCCAGGTGCACTAAAGAAATTGCGGAACGCACGGGTCCCGGGAACACGTGGGTACGGGAACTACTCTCCGCGCACAGAGAGGGTGGTCGGCCTAGCCATTACGCTAACTGCTGGTCTCTCTCTATTTTCTTTACCCATTCACACAGCCAATCTATTTGAGTATTTATCCTGAACGTCTATAAATGTTGTTCATTTTGCTAAAGTGAATGAACTCCCAGCAATCTTACTGGAGTTTCTTGCTGTATCTCATGGAACTGATGGACCAAACCTTGACTACCTACTCCTTTGGCTTTGCAGACTCCCCTTCTATTTTCTTTCCCAGGCATTGCACCATTTCACATGAACACTGACTTCAAACGAATGGCTCTCTCTCCCCTAACTTTACACTGGTATATACAATAACTCTTTTAAAATAATCACATTTCCCCAAACATCAAGACATCACAGTCTATAAAGTAAAATGTGCTGACAACTACCAATCTGCTTTAAAATTCCCCATTTCTCAATTTTGTCAACCACTGAAACCTTGCATTCTCCCCTTAATTAAAATCATATTTATATCAAAAGAACCTCAGTAACTGGAACACTGAATGGACTGGATTTATCTTTTTCCCTAAAATGCTGTTATCAATGGGATTATTGTTTTAAATGTCACCACTTTACCTGGTGCCTAGATAAGTATTTCAAACGTCTCAGAAGGGAAGATTTAATAATGCTCCAGTTTTAATCTCCTTTACAATGCTCAACTATATTCCTACCTTGATGAACTCGATTTCTCTATTAAAGGAGTCTAAAGCTTCATTCACTCCTCCCAGAATGGTTGTGAAGATCGAATGAGGTAATAAAATGACAAACCAGTGTCATGCATATAGGAAACAAACAGTAACTGCTAGTTGAATCTGGGTAAGTGTCGTCACTTCCCACAATATTCAAGCAACTCAATTTTTATTCCATTCACCAATCAAAATTCAAATGCCTAAGTCATTTCCCATGTTCACCTAGGGTAGTCACTTTCACTTTACATCCTTACCTCTACACCTAGGTTTAAAAAGACATTCGCTCGCCTAATTATACAATGCAGAGATCACGGCAAGAAAAAGAAATCAATACTGCTGTGAAAGATAACGAATGTATTATTCGGATGGGCATATCAAAAATTCGCGTCATTTCCCTAACAAACAACATTTTTAAAAGTTAAAGAGTTCGTCACAGCGGGTGGACAGCAAGCCAGCAGCGGTAGGCTGGTATGAAAAACTAAACTTCTGATTAACAGGGAGGATTTAAATGCTAGCGTAGTCTGCTGCCCATCTCTCCCCTAAATCTCAGCCAACGCACAGGGAACGGCTGAGCGAGCTCAGCTGTACCTCGTTAACACTGGTTTCCCCGAGGAGCCTGAAAGCAATGGGAATCAGGGTGTCTGTTCTAAATTCCAGGTGCACTAAAGAAATTGCGGAACGCACGGGTCCCGGGAACACGTGGGTACGGGAACTACTCTCCGCGCACAGAGAGGGTGGTCGGCCGCCGTTGCCTCCGCGTGGCCGGGCGCTCGCCCAGAGGCCGCCGTGGGACGTCCAGGCCCGACCGGGTCCTGGGGCAGCGCGATGCCGACCCACGGAAGGACTGCCGGACACCCACGGAAGGACTGCCGGACGCCCCCGGCCCGAAGGCCCTCCCCAAGGCTTCTCTTACCATCGGAATTGGTTTCGGGATCGAAGCGCTGACCGCAGCCCCGGTTGTAGCACAGCAGGGCCATTTTCTCGCCTCAGCGTTTCAGGTAAGGTCCAAACGCCGGGAACCCCAAGACGCGGCTGCCTTTACACTTCCCTGCCGCAAGGTGTTGGCTGAGCTGGCTGCCGGCTTCCGGAAACGGCCGGTTCCGCTTCAGGAACCTTCGCGAATTTTCCGGTCGCGCAGGCGCAGAGGAGCTGGGAGGAGGCGGCGTAGCCGCGGAGGCTGAGCGCTAGTGGGGGCAGCGGTAGGGCCGGCTCCCGCGGGGCCGGAGAGGGAGCTCCGACGCTGGTTGATGGGAGACTTACTACGGAACAGAGAAGGAAGGGATCCGAGGATCGACGTGCCCGCTCCATGTTTAGTCACTGTTGGTCGTGGGTGTCGTGCGGTGAAATGACCGCCCTGCCGTGTCGTCCCCCGCGTCCCAGCATCCTTTCTGCTTTCCGGGTTGTAATTCCGCAGCGGTGTCGCTGTCTGTATCCCGCACTCCTCAAGAAAAGTGCAGAGTCGGACAGTATTTCCCATCCTCTACTTGGGGGAGGAGAGTGTGGTAATGGAAGGGCTTTAGTCAATGAGATGAGGGGACGGGGTTGCGTGTTTCTTCGTTGGAGTGCTAATGTGTACGTGTCTAAGCTTCGGACCTCTGGAACACACAAAATACAGGCACCGTAAGGAATTCTGATAACTGAACAATTGCGGTCAAGTCATTTTGAAAACACAGAGCAGTTAGAAGAGCGGAGAAAAGTATGGATCAGAGGCAAACCAGAAATGCTTACAATTGCCCGGAGATCTTGGAGTAATTGTTAAAAATTCCTACTAACCTTCGTTTAACCGCTTGTCACTCACTACTCAACTCTCCAGTTTTGGAACGTCTAGTGATATTTCGACAAGTGTGTTATAAAAATTATACGCCGGCTCCAACTTTTATGTTCCTAAACTCCAGCATTTAAGATAAAAAATGCGTTTTGATAATAGCATTGAGAACAATCTTAAAATAATAGTCTGAGTAGTTTGAAAGTAAAAGGAAAACCTAACCGGTGTTTCTAGTGATCCTAAGTTTGTTAATGAGAGACCTATTTACAATCTCCCACCTCAACTAAAGACTTATTTTTAAATATTCTCTTCCTTTCTTTTTTTTAAATAATGTATTTTATTTTTAATTTATTCATTCATTTATTTTTTAATTTCACTAGAGAGAGACAGACGGTGAGAAGAGAGAGAGAGAGGAAGTGAGAAAGCAAGCCACCAGATTCAGGACTCGAACCCTGGTTGGCCATGTGGGAGTGTCCAGCACCTTAACCACCACGCCACCTGCTGGTCCCTTCTCTTCCTTTCTTTACATATGGAAAAATTAAATTTGTCTGTAGTAATCCTAATACACATAGATACAGTGTTGTATTCCACATTTAACCTAACATGAATATTTTCTACTTTGTTTCATTATCATTGTTAAGAATAATGGCATATTCTGTTGAATAAATGCACTATAAAAACACCTTTCTAATTTAATCATAGGTTCTCTATTATACAAATCTTCAATAATCAACTTGTTCCATGTTTTCCTTATTTTAAATAACCTTTTTAGCATAATTTTTGAAAAGTGTCCGTTCAGGGGTAAAGAGCATAAAAAGCCTTCTGGGGCGTGGTGGCACCCGCCCTATGGCAAAAACCTATGGAGGCTGGAGGATTGCGGCATCGAGTCCATCTCACTCTCTCTCTCTGTCTCTCTCAACGAGCACACGATTAAAAAAAAAAGGCATAAAAAGCCTTCTAAAATACTTTTTGGATTTTAAAGAAATATATGGCCAATTACTTTTCAAAAGGTGGTATTGGGTTGCAATTTCACCTGCCATGGATGTGAATAACAGACTGTAGAAATGAATTATAGTTAGAAATAGAGATATGGAGAACTCTTAAAAAGTTTAGTTGTGATCACATCCATTGTCTGAGAATTCTATCAGTGCTACGACATTAACAAGATTGTTAGTAAGGTAAATCTTTTAAATGGTTTTAATACTTACTGCCTTTTTTATATATAGCATTTACTGTCAGAAAATACTTAAGAGTAGATAATTTGGAAAATGTGGAAATATATTAAGAGTAAAATCAACAATAATCCTACCACCCAGCGGTACTCAGTCTTTAACCCTCAGATAAATGTATTTCCATAGTCCCTCACCCCACCCAAGCATTTATAAGTATAGAAAAAAATAAGAATGGAGCCATATTACTCACCCATTAAAAAACCCTAAGAGCCAATGGCGTAATGGTTACGTTGCTGGACTCCCACATAGTGTGACCATAGTTCAATACTTGCACTGGGAACCTTAAAACTCATGCCAGGCGTGTGTGCATATGTGCCCAAAATCTCGAGAGGAGAATAGAGGAGAAGGGATTGTGGTGTGGCCATTCCCTCTGGGGAATATGACTTCTCACTTTTGGTCTCTCTGTCTCTCTCTGCCTCTCCAGAAAGTGCACATGTCCTATAGTAAAAATCTCTCTCAAGAATATCTCAAAATCTGGGGCTGGTAGGTGGCGTGGTGGTTAAGGGCATTCAATTTCTAGATGGCTGACTGTAGTTCAAGTGCCAGACCTGGCAGCTTGCTTTCTCACTTTCTTTTTTTTTCTCTCTCTCTGTCCTTCTCTGGTCAGATTTAAGTAAATAAATGAAATGAATAAAGTTAAGTAATTCTTTTAAAAAAAAAAAACAAACCCAAGATGAAATCTTGTCCTGTCTTTAGAAAAGAATCTGAACTTTCAGTTAAAAAAATGTATATATTGTTACAATTTAAAAATCTTGTGTGGGGCCAGCAGGTGGTGGGGTAAGACACTAGATTTCCACATAGTCAACAGGTGTTCGAGCCCTGAACCCAGTGGCTTGAAAATCACGCCAGGCACATGTGTATGCATGTCCCAGGAGAAGAATGGAGGAGAAGGGATTGTGGCTTGGCCAGCACCCCTGTGGGGGTGATTCCTCATTTTCCCTCTCACTATTTCTCTCAGGCAAGCACACACACTATAAGGGGGAAAAAGTTGTGAATAGGCAAAGTGGCTGATAGATATAATTTAAGGGGGAATTTGTAAGCTAGGAGATAGAGCTGAAGAATTAAGTAGAATGAAAAATAGAGAAAAAAAACAGTGTGGAAGAGAGGTAAAGAGGTGATTGGAAAAGTTGAACATGTACTTGATCTTCAGAAGAGTATGTGTGTGTATTGTGGGTGGGGGATTGTACAGAGTAATATATGAAAGGATTTTTGCTGACAGATTCCCTCAATGATATACAACTGTACAGATTTAGGAATCTTAGTGAATGCCAAGCATGATATAACTTTAAAACAATTGTTAAATATCATAAACAGAGAAGAGACCTTAAAAGAAGCCAAAGAGAAAGGATACAATACCAAACAGCTTACAGTTGAAGCCTGAAAATAATGGCACATTCATGATTGGATTATGGTAGTTAGCTCTTTGCTGTTTAATGCTTAACTAGTTTTCAGTAGAACAACAGAAACCAGAAAACAGTAAAATAATGAGGAAGACCTTCAAAAGTGAAGGTTAAAGGTATTTGGGAAACTTAATCAATGTAAATCTAAAAGACTAAAACTTTAGTTAAAATCTAAATGTCATCAGTGGACTGTATCATTATCAGTATCCTGATTGTAATAAAATACTATAGTTTTGCAAAAATGTTACCTTTGTGAAAAACTATGCAAAGTGCACAAGAAATTATTCTGTATATTTCTGACAACTGCATGTGAATTTGTGGTTACTCTAATAAAAACTTCGATTTTTAAAAAAGATTAATTTTATTTATTATTATTATTCACTTTGACCAGAGAGAGAGAGGGAGAGAGAATGAGAAAGCAAGCCACCAGACCACCAGATCTGGGACTCGAACTGGGGTTGGACATTTGGTAGTCGGCCATGTTCTATTCCATGGATAGATTTTTTTTTTTTTTGTCTTCAGATTACCAGGTAGCAACAGGGCAGTTAGACAGTAAAACCAAAAACCTATGGATAACATTTACAGAAAGAAAACAAAAAACCAAAACTTAGATTATAGTATATCTTTCTAAACCCCAAATAAAAATGGGAGGGATAGACCAACACAACTCATAGACCTTGGAGCCACCAGGTAGTTTGATGGTTAAGATGCTGGACATGGCTGACTGTGGTTTGAGTCCCATACCTGGGGGCTGCTTTTTCTCACTTTCTCTCTGGTCAAATTAAATAAGTAATGTATGTTTGTTTGTTTGTTTATTTTTAAAAAAGAGACTCATAGACCTGTGTTTTATTAGCCTGTGCAGAGGAAAGCAGAGAGAAGCAACAGATAATTGACATTTGGCAGGAGAAGAATAACCAAAAAATAGGTAACACACATACATTGGAAACAACAATGAGCCAGATAAAACAATAACTAGTGGGGTTAGCTCACTTTGCTTAGGGAGGGACTGAGTGCTAGGGACCCCTACAGGATGAAGAAATGGAGAAGGGATTGTGGCATGATCACGTCCCATTTTCTTCTCTGTCTTTCTGTCTTGGATATTATAGCTGTGTAATGCATTTTAAAAATTGAAATTTTGGGGCCAGCAGGTATCATGGTAGATAAGGTGCTGGACTTCCACATGGCCAACTGCAGTTCGAGTCCCAGACCTGGTAGCTTGCTTTCTCATTCCCTCTCTCTCTCTCTTAGTCAAAGTGAGTAATAATAGAAATAAATAAAATTAAGTAAATCTTTTTTAAAAAAATTGAGTTTTTTATTAGAGTAACCACAAATTCACATACAGTTGTCAGAAATATACAATTTCTTGTGCACTTTACATAGTTTTCACAATGGTAACATTTTTGCAAAACTGTAGTAATTTATTATAATCAGGATACTGATAATGATACAGTCCACTGATCACATTTAGATTTCAACTACGGTTTTAGTTTTTGAGGTGTTTGGTATGACTTGTATTTGTGTGTGATATATCAAATGGCTCCAACACCACAAGGAGCCCTCAGTTTGCTCTTGTGTAAACAAATCTATTCCAAAGCCCTAAAAACCACTCATCTATTTTCTATTTCTAAATTTTTTATTTTATAAATTCCATATATGCTTGGAATCAC